TGCACCACCACACCTGGTATCGGTGGCTGGCGCAACATGTGCCAGGGATCAAACCCGGGTCCTTGTGCTTGCCAGGCAAACACTTAGGCTGCTGAGCTATCTCCCCAGCCCAGAAGCCTGTCTTGTTAAGCACATTTTTGTTCATGCACAAATACTGATCTGTATATTTATTTGACTTTTTGCATGTAAGTTGTGTCAGTGCATTTGCGGTATGTGACAATCACGTCTGTCACGGGGAGCTGGTACATGTAAGCACATCATGTGGCATCCCCTCCCCCCATTCCTTCAGAGGAGGCTGCGCGAGCTGCGTGCTGACACATGGTGAATGATTTTGATCCCTGAGCGCCCTGCGCCGCCATCATTTCTCACGCAGCGCGCCCTTCCTGGCCTGGTGCTTATGGATCTACCCAGGACCAATTGAGAGGTGGGCGTGGTTTTGCCGTTAGAAGGACAAATGTGGTCCTTTGCAGCCACAGCTCTGGGCCATTTTTCTAAAGGCCAGATAGTGTTTTAGACTTTGTTGGCTGAATAATCAGTCATTGTTTTTCTTTTTTGGAAGTATGCTTTGACGAGCATGCTTGCAGGCCTTACTGAGCCAGGCCTGGGTGACAGGTGGGCGGTGGGGTAGAGTTTGGCACCCTTGTCCCACATGAATGGTGCCTACCAGCACCAGCATGTGCATTTTTAACTCACTGACACAGAACGCCACTTGTCTCTTGTCACTTGACCTAACCTGTCCTTTTCCACCAAAGAAGACACATTTCCCTGAACTTGGTGTGATAGTACCGCTTTCGTGTCTACTGATATGCCAGGCAAAAATGGCATCCCGTTTCAATTTATATTTTAAGTCACTGGTGAGATCTGCCATCCTTTCACCATTGTACATGGGGTCTTTGTCCTTGTTGGGAAAACACTGAGCCTTTTTTCTCAAAATATTCATCTGTTTTGATCTCATCTGTATTATTTGTAAATATTTTGAATACTAAAAAGTCTGTATATTTACAAATATAGCACTTCTCAGAAGCAGAAAGCAGACCTCTGGGTTTCATGAGAATGCCTCCTCTAGTCAGAACCCATGCAGGAAGCTGCGTATTTTCTTGATTTAAGAAAAAGTGTTTGGTGCATACTTGTAAATTTAATGCACAGAAGTTTATGTATTTCCTCCCCATAAACAATAACGGGAAAAAATGGGAAAAATATTTTTTTTCTATATCAAACAAACAGATAAACTTGACACTCAGCAAATGCTGCTTGCAGAGGGGGCTTCATGGACATTCTGATACAATCTTGATAGCTCCTGTGCAAAGAAAACATTGAATTTCACTGAAAGACCAAACACTGACGTTATCCCACCCGTGGCTGCTTCTCAGTCGGGCATGGTGTCCAGGGGCAGCCTGGAATGTGCTTACTGGTTGCTGAAAAGTTAGTTTAAAGCCATACTACTGAAACAGTTTGGTTTAGGTGAGAGGGATGAAAGATTATTGGACAAGCCAGATTATCCAAGAAATAGCAACAGAATAATCATTACCTTTTTATTAAAAAATCTTTTATTTACTTATTTGGTACAGGGTATCACTACACAGCTTGGACTCGTGGTGATTGTCCTGTCTCTGCCTCCGTAGCACTGGGATTACAGGCGTGTGCCACCATACTCGGTTTCAGTGGCGGGGCCTGTGCAGCATGTAGTGCAGGAGATTGAACTCCAGTCCTTGCACTTAGTAGGCAGGTGCTTAGACCGCAGAGCTATCTCCCCAGCCCCAAACATTACCTTTTATTAAAATTAATTAATGTATTTATTTATGGTGTATTTAGTACAGGGTCTCACTATACAGATTGGACTCATAGTGATCCTCCTGTTTTCAGCCTCCCAAGTGCTGGGATTATAAGCTCCCCAGTCTCAGTCACTGTCTCAGCATGCCCCAGGGATGGGGCTGGCACAGCACGGCATGCTGGGAATCGAACCCAGCCCCTGAGCCTGCCTAAGCAGGTGCTTTAGTCCGCTGAGCTATCTGGCTGGAGCCGTCATTGCCTTTTAAATATTTTTATTTTTAAGTTTTTTGTTTTGTTTTGCTTTTTGTGCTGGGAATGGAGTCTGGTGTCCTGCGTGCTGGAGCCGTGTTCTCCCTTGGAGCGCCACCTCTGGCCCTCACAGCGCTTCTCGAGGAAAAAACAGAATGCTGGACCCCTTGTTATTTGCGGTGGCAACATAAATTTAAGATGTGTTAAGGATTCAAGCTTTAAAAATATCTTTTTAAGTGACTTTCAGAACTTGGTAGCCAAAAGGAAAAGATGGACAAATTAACTTCATGCCAATTAAAACTTGTTAGGCAACAGATGTCATAGAGTTGGTGGCAAACTACAGATATTCATAGCTCCACAGTGACAAAGCTTGCTTCTTTAACTTACAGATAGACATAAAGGACACACGAGCCAGTAGAAAAATGGACAAAGGGAAGGAGGTTTTGCAAAACAAAAAAGTTCACATGGTGAATACAGATGTTTGAATTTGTTCCTAATTATTTTTTCAAAAAAAGCAATAAAAAAATCTAGGAGATCCTGTTTTCCACCTGGCAAATTGGCAGGCGTTTTCAACCCTTGGTGCTAAACCCTTCCGCGTGCTGTTGGATTGGCCATTAGAGGGTGACTTGGAGCTGTCGGAACCAGGCATGCCTGCAGGGGACCCATTCCCTTGCCAGGAACCTGCCCCACAGGTGGATCAGCCAGCTCCGCAAGGTCTGAGTGCACAGATGCTTGCAGCAGCTCGTTATACAGTGCCGTGTTATTTCTAACTTGATGTGTTCATTTATGGTCATTTCATTCATAGAAGCAAAAAGCTGGAAACAGCCTTTGAACTCCATCCCTGGGCTGGTGGAGTTCAAGTGGTTCTGGCTGTGCTTCTCAATGTGGGCATGTGTGGGACATTGCTGTTGTCACAGCTGTTGGCGGTGGGACATCTGTGGAGCAGAGACCAGGATGCTGCCAGAGACCTGCAGTACCTGCCTTGGCCCCACCGCAAGGAACTGCCAGCCCCCAGACGTCAGTGCCACCCCTGAAAATCCCTGGGGTAACTGAGCTATGACACTAAGGCAGTTCAGCACAGCTGCCATTGAGACGAGGCACTGTTCCTAGGGGGCACCTGAAACGAGGAAGCCTGTTTGAGAGAATTTGGTGTGACACCATGTGCAGTGTCCGAGCAAAGGCGGAGTCTGGTGGCCTTCTTGCATTTATTAATGGTGCTTTGATCTTTAATTGTGTGCGGCAGTCTGGGCCTTGAGCTGGCGTAACCACTACGTTCACAGATGAAAATGGGTTTGCTTCACTTACTTGCCACCAAGTCAGTCAGGAGAGTGTAATTCTGGTCATTGAATCTGGGTTTTACTCGTTTCCTCACTTGCGCTTCTCAGTGTTTGTCAGAATATCACAGCCTGTGCGTTTTGCTTTTAAAAAATGTGTTTCAAGTGATACTCCTGTCCAAAATGGGGAGTAGGTAGGAAATCGGGACCCGCATACAGAAATCACAGCAGGTGTAGCACCAGAAAGGTGGTAGTATGCACCGATATTCGTGGCTCCGTGACAAGTGGAAAAGGCCAGGTTTAACCCCAAGTAAAATTCTAAAACTTAATCGGGTGGAAGATGATGCCTTAAAATGCTGATGGTGACATTCTTCTTTGTATTTATATTATTCATTTCTTTCAGAATTTTCCCAGGGTGATTTTATTTCTGGGAGAGAAAAGGTGCATGTAATTTTAAAGGAAAGAAGAAAAACTTGGGCCGGCGAGATAGCTCCGCGGTCTGAAGCACCTGTTTAGGCAAGCGTGCAGGGACTGTGGTGCTTTAGTCTTCTCTGACTTGGAGCTTTTGCCCCACATCCCTTTATTAGATTGTGCTTGTAACCTTAAACTGATGATGGGAAAATTTTTCTTTTTCTTATAGAAAAATGTTCTAGAATTCCTGGCCCCCTTGAAGCCAGCGGCCATTCGAATAGTGAGGAACGCTCATGGGAACAAGACAGGTAAGGTCCCTGGATGTCAGGAGGTGGGAGCAGGCGTCCCCAGCCTGCTCAGTGCCCGGGACCAGTTTCTTGGTAGACAGCTTTCCCGCTGGCGAGGGTGGGGTGCAGGACGGCCCGAGAGGTGGAGACCTCTCACGCGCACTGTTGGTGTTGCAACTTGCACCTGTGGGCATCTGATCCACACTGACCTGGCGGGAGGCAGAGCGCAGGTGGTGACACCGGCCACAGAGCTTCAGTCCTCTGCTGCCACCCCCCTGCTGTGCAGCCTGGTCCTAACAGTGGCCTGGGGACTGGGCACTCCGTGGCTGGGGGATGAATGTGCAGATCAGGTATTGGGGCCACTTGTCCAAAGGAAGAACTTTCAGGACAGCATATTTGTTTTCCTGTTTGTGGTTCTCAGCTCTGTGGATGTGATTAAACCGTTTGGGACAGGCTCCGTGTCTTGTCCCCTGCCCCTGCTGCCTGGCCTGTAATGACAACATTTCCTCTGTGTGTCCCTGCCCCAGCTTGTGCTTATCCATGGGCTTTCCTGTTCCTCAGACACCAGCAGGACTGTGATTGCTGGGCCGTGTCCACGGGCACTTGGCTGGTGGGTAGGACCCTACCTTTCTGAGTGCATGGTGCAGCCCTGGCCATGTCTCCCCAGTTCCACCCCAGGCAAGTGTCCCTCGCCCCTGACCTCAGAGCCCTGAATCTGGCTACCCTGAGGTGAGGACCAGGGGAGGAGATGCAGTGGCCGGCCAAGAGACGCAGTGGCAGACGACCCCGTCTGGGCTGAGGCTGCATAGCCATGGAGTACAGCACTGTGGGGTGACCTTGGCAGGAAGAGGCTGCCAGGCAGAGGTGGAGGATTCCCTGGCCAGCCCTTGAGGAACGCATGCCTGTGCTGTGCATCAGCGGTGGTCCGGTCGCCGCCTCCCCCTCCCAGCCTACGTCCCCTCTTAGCCCTCTCACTAAGCTGATTCAGGACTGGCCTTCCTTTGATTTTTGTACTTGTATGTAGTAGCAGGCAGGAGAAAGAGCCCAGCTTTGAGGCCACAGCCTCAGGGTCCATGTCTATGCAGGTGGGTTAAGACGCATCCCTCTGTGGAAGATCAGGGCTGACCCCTGAGCAGTCCTGTGAGAACCATTGTGCATGGCAGGGGTGCTGGTGCTGGTGGTGTCCCCAGCTTGTGGCACTAGAGAGACCAGACAGGAGTGGAAAGGAGCATGTGGGCATCATCAGGGCTGAGAGAACCCTCTTGGGGCTGCTGCTGGGTGTCCCTGCACAGGAGCCAGGAGGTGACAGGCCAGGCCCTCGGGCCCCCCAGGGACTGTGGGCAGGGAGGCAGGAAAGGTCCTGATGGTATCCTGGCTAGCGGAGGGGCCTGGAGCAGGCTGTGGAGGCCCAGGTGCGCCTGGTGTGAACTGGGCCCTGGTGGCTGTGCAGGAGGAAGAGGAGGGAGGGGTTGGAGAACAAAGTGGGTGGGGGCATTTACAGGGTAGATGAGGTGCTGCATGAGGGGCAGGCCAGGAGAAGCAATCACGAAGGGGCGCTAAGCTGCCCTGTGCTGGGGCAGAGCCCAGAGGACCAGGCTGGGCGCCGCCACGTCCTTGCGCAAGGCAACACTTAGCCGAGCACCCAGCAAGGGGAGACGTGGTGCCCTCTGTGCAGATGCCGCTGCCTGCTTCTGTGCAAGTCAGGTCTCAGACGCTCTGGGGAACGTGGTCTCCAAGGTGGCCCCTGGCTGCTGAGCAGAGGGTGGCACGGGAGGAGGCCGTGAGGCCTTCGTTTCTGACCCCAGGCACCCGGCACCTTCAGCCGCAGACCAGGCCGCAGGGTCTGGGTGCGCCCTCGGTGAGCAGTGTCCGTCGGTGTTTGGACATGTAGCAGAGACACAGGCTCCCACCACACCCAGCGCAGCGTGCGTGCTCGTGACTCCAGGGTGTGTGCGCTCACCTGTGCTGTCGTCCGCGTGCAGGGTACATCTTTGTGGATTTCGGCAGTGAAGAAGAAGTGAAAAAAGCTCTGAAATGCAACCGCGAGTACATGGGTAAGGAGTGCCGAGTCGGAGCGGCCCGATTGTACGTGTGCGCTTCGCATGTGTGGCGTTCTGAGCATCCTCTGCTGGCCCCTGTAGTCACGGGGACCACAGTCCCTGCCCCCCAGCGGCTGTGGCAGGGAGAGATGGGCAGTGGGGAGCAAATGGGGCCGTGACACCAGCAGATGAGGCTCCTGCAGGGGTGGGCGGGTGGGGGAATGGCTCGCATTCCACTGGATCGAGTCTGCTATGGCCTGGCTGAGGGGATGTGGGATGCGCCTGTAACTGATGGCGCAAGCTCGGACTTATGGGGCAGGACGTCCAGTAGCCAGAATGCCAGTGGACAGTCCTAGAGCCGGAGGATGCCAGCTCTCATCCATCTTGGTCTGGGAGTGGCCTGTGGCTGCAGATTTTCTCAGGAGATAAGATGCCAAGGTGGGAGGTGATCCCTTCATGGGGCAGAGTGGTGGGTGAGCTGGCCGAGCACAGGTGCAGGTATGGTAGTTGGCTGGGTCAGGCTGTCACTGAGAGCCATCCCACGGCACAGCAGCACCAGAGATGGGTCACTAGCGGCCCAGGTGGCTCCCTGGTCCGAACTCTACTGCAGATGAGGGAAGTCCCTGAAGCACAGACGCCATCCCCACCTGCCTTGGCTGTGGCTTCTGGAAGATAGCGGGGACGAGCCTGGCCTCCCCAGCCTGAGTGTCTGCAGTTCCAGGGCTTCCTCTGCCCCAGGCCCTGACCCCTGCCCTCTTGTAGGTGGGCGTTACATCGAGGTGTTCAGGGACAAGCAAGTCCCTGCAGCCAAGGCACCTGTGAAGAGTAGCAGCAAAGCTTGGCAGGGCCGGACGCTGGCCGAGAATGAGGAGGAGGAGGACCTGGCCGACTCCGGGAGGCTCTTTGTGCGCAACCTGCCCTACACCAGCACCGAGGAGGACCTGGAGAAGCTCTTCTCAGCCTATGGTAGGCATCGCCTCCTGGCCACCGCAGCCCAGCAGCAGGTTCCCAGGGCTGTGAGGAGGGCTCTGGCAGTCCTGGGCCAAAGGCCCCTCTGCCTGTCACCAGCTCCTGACCTCAGCAGAGGACTATAGCCTGCGTCTCCTTTGTCCCATCTGCCGCAAGTGGCTCCTGTCCCTGAGCTGCTGTGGGCTTGGTGGTGGTCTCTGCCCTCTGAATTTGTGCTCTGCTGCACTCCCACTCTCAAGAGGCCCTGCTGTGAGGTCGGGACATCTTGCCGGCTGCCCACGTCCTTGCTTCTCTGGGCTCCTCAGCCTGAGAAACTGCTGTGCCACCGCAACCAGTTGCTAGCAGTGGGGCTGGTTTTGTGGTCACCCTGTTACACTCAGGCCAAGAACGTGGTGCCTATAGCTCAGCTTGGTCACGCAGGCTGTGGGGCGTCCAAGGGACAAGGACCTGGCACCTGTGAGGTCCCCTGATTTACACGGAGGCCAGCGTGGGTGCCGGGGGGCCCAGAGAGGCTGCACAAGTGCATAGGAGGGGCAAGAGGCCCCAAGTTGTGGGCAAGGGGACCCCAGGTGTGGGGGCAAGTAGCCCTGACTCACGGGAACGGACGCCTATCCTGTCCTCAGGTCCCCTGTCTGAGCTGCACTACCCCATCGACAGCCTGACCAAGAAGCCCAAGGGCTTCGCCTTCGTCACCTTCCTGTTCCCCGAGCACGCTGTGAAGGCCTACGCAGAGGTGGACGGGCAGGTGTTCCAGGTGAGGGGTCTCGGGCGGTCAGAGAGGGCCTTGCAGGGTGTGCACATGCTTGTTTGCAGCTGTGTTTTGGGCCTAAGACTTGACAGTGGCCTGGCAGGCTGTGACCTCACGGGAGCGGCTACAAGGTGAGGCCCTCTGCGATCACAGGGCACGGTCTGCCCCCTCGCTGATCTGTAGCACCTAGAGTGGCACCAGCAGAGGGCGGGCCCAGCATACTTGTTGAGTGAGTAAACGTGCCCATTGCTGCCAGAAATGCCTCCTTGGCAGAGCAGTGGGCAGGGAGGGCGTCTGGCGGGCTGGTGGTCCACACCTTGTCGTCTCAGCACTCTGGGAGGCCTGGCCAGGAGCATCGCCCAGCCTGAGCCCAGCGTGGGCAAGTTAGTGAAGCCTTGTGTGAGACTTTTTAAAAGGAGGGGCGGATGGTTGGGGATGTAGCTCAGCGTGAAGGCCCTGAGGTTCAGTGCTGCACCATAAAGGAAAAGGAAAACAAGTGTCCACTGTGGGCAGCGAGAATGACCGGCGCGGATGCTGTCCTCTGCCCGCTGTCCCCGGGGCAGGGCCCAGCTCGCCCCGCTCCCTGTGTGCCTCTTTCATGCTCACTGGGCCCGTGTTCCTACTCACTTGTGGCCGGGCAGGGCCTGCTGCAGCTCCGGCTCACACAGTGGCAGTCTCCTTCATCTGTGCCCGCTCGGGTGGACCAGGGACCGAGTGGGGCGTCCCGAAGTCTCTTGTTCACCCCTCCTCCACCCCTCCAGGGCCGGATGCTGCATGTGCTGCCGTCCACCATCAGGAGGGAGGCCAGCGAGGAGGCCAGTGCCCCCAGCTCGTCTTACAAGAAGAAAAAGGACTCCAAGGACAAAGCCAACAGCTCCAGGTCCCTGGCAGCCAGCAGCGGCTCCTTAGCCCCTTTGCCCTCACTCCTGCCTGGCCAGGCTGCCCGGTTCCTTTTACTGGGCCCTGGGTATAATCCGGAGCCTCCTCCACGTCAGATTCTTATTTGCATAGTGGGGCAGGCAATACAGTGCCTTAGTTGTGCAGTGTTGTGTGACATGAGCCCGGCCTAGAGGGGGTGCTTGCCACGTTAGAGCTGGCCAGTGCCACCGCTTGTCCCGAAGGACAGACTGTTCTTAGCCTGTGACCTGTGTGTGGGAGGGAGGGCTCAGGAACGCAGGCCGGGGCTGTAGCTTCTGCGTCTGAAAGCCCCCCGTTGGGCCACACCGTGACCCCTCTGTGCCTCCGCCCCTCAGCTCCCACAACTGGAACACGCTGTTCATGGGGCCAAACGCTGTGGCCGACGCCATCGCGCAGAAGTACAGCGCCACCAAGAGCCAAGTGTTCGACCACGTGAGTGGAGCCCGTGTGCGTGTGCTCTGCATGCTGTGTATGCACATTTGACACCAGCTGAGTGACAACAGAGGTGACATGGGTGCCCCGTAGGTTTAGCCTCCGCCTTCTCACCCTTGCTGCAGGCACCCACGCTCAGTGCTGTGAAGGGCAACGCCCACCACCTCTGTGACTGAGTGGCCAGCTGCCACACTGCAAAAAGAAACACGTTATAAATAATTCTAACAATGTATTTATTTAGTGTATCCAAAGTAGTATTTTAATAAGGGGACTGTTAAAAAAATTACGGGTATTTTTTGGTTTTTTTAATGACTAAATGCAGTGTCTTTTACACTGGGGACAGTACTGATTTGAGCATGTCCAGCTTCCAGCGGGCCGTGGCTCATGGCCACTGTTCAGGGCCATGTAGTTTGGCCCGAGTGTGGAGAGGGACCTAAGTCGTGGTAGGTCCCATATGTCCCCTCTGAGCTGCAGGAGCTCAGCAGTGCTGGGAGCACAGCGGGTCCCCTCCAGTGCTTTCTAATGGAGGAAGACCCCAGCCATGACCAGAATGAAGGACATTTTACCGGAGGCAGCTTGGGGTGTGACAGCAAGGGTGGGCGGGCAGCACACACAGGCAGAAACGGTGGGATGGCTGGAGGTAGGATTCCCCAAAACCAGTGTCCCAAGCAGGAGGGGACAGTAAGCCAGGCAGGGAGGAGCAGCAGAGATCCATCTGGCCAGATAGGAGACGGGTAGGGGCAAGGCAGGAAGGGGAACCTAAAGAGGGCTGTGACGACCCACATGTGCTGTGTGTGACTTGGGGAGCCCAGACCACAACAGCACCAGCTGAACCCCTTTTTCCCAAGCCTACTTCTCTGCCAGTGGTCAGGAGTCAGGCGCACAGCTGCCCGACAGAGCCCACAGGCATCTTTTCTCTCCCCCAGGAGACCAAGGGCAGTGTAGCCGTGCGTGTGGCCCTGGGGGAAACACAGCTGGTCCAGGAGGTGCGGCGCTTCCTGCTCGACAATGGGGTCTGCTTAGACTCCTTCAGCCAGGTAGGTGCTTGCTGCCCCTAGAGCAGGCTGCCACTAGAGCCTCATTTCAGGAAAACCAAGTGTCCCACGCAAAGGATAGGAGTACCCCCACTTATGTACTGCCCCGGGGTGTGAGCTCCTGGTACTTCCTGCTCCCCCTAGCCTCAGCAGCAGGCAGTGGGAAGGTGCCCTGTACACTGAGGCGTGGGGCTCTGTCCTGAGCAGACCTGGCAGGTGTTCTGGGAGGTCGAATAGGGCGTGGTCAGGTGCTGTCAGGATCTGGGGCCTCTGGCCCTGCTTCCCAGGGACCTGGCCACTGGGCCCCAGTCAGAGGCCTTGTCCAGGAGCACCGTGGATCCTTGGTGTCAGGCCGAGCACCCACCTCTTGCCCCACCACCACTCTGCAGGCCGCAGCAGAGCGAAGCAAGACAGTGATTCTGGCCAAGAACCTCCCGGCAGGCACCCTGGCAGCCGAGCTGCAGGAGACTTTCGGCCGCTTTGGCAGCCTGGGCCGGGTGCTGCTGCCTGAGGGTGGCATCACGGCCATCGTGGAGTTCCTGGAGCCCCTGGAGGCCCGCAAGGCCTTCACACACCTGGCCTATTCCAAGGTAGGGCTGCCGAGCCTCGGCACAGGGTGGGGAAGGGCCAAGGGCTGCTCCAGGTACAGGGCACAGCGAGCTTCTGGGCCAGGGAAGCTCAGCCAGAGCCCAGCAGCCCGAGCACCTGCAGGAAGTATGCGTGGTTCCCACCCGACTCAGGCCGTCCTGGGCTTCCCATTCCTGTGCCACCTTGACGTCACTCTTGCTGCCTGGACCCACCAGGAGGCAAAAGGCAGTGTTGGACCTGGGCCTGTTTCCTTATTCTTGGGTAGGAAGAAAGAAAAGTAGGGCTGGAGATACAGCTCAGCAGCATAGCGCCTGCCTGACAAGTGTGAGGTCAGGAGTTCAATTCCCATTACCAAAGAAAGAAAAATAGTCACATTAGATTAATTTCTGAGGACCGACATGATAAACCACCATCTACTCAATGGCTTACAGCAACAGATACGTATTTCCTAGCACGCTGGCACCTGGAAGTCCAAAGCTGAGGCAGCAACAGGGCCAGGCTCCCCGGGGAGGCTCTGAGGACAAACTGTTCCCAGCCTATTCCTGCTCCTGGTAGCTCCCAGCGCCCTTGGCCTGTTGCATCCCCGTCCCATGACCCCCTTCTCTTTGGGGTCTCGAGAGTCCCTCTGGATTTGTCTTTCAGGGATGCTTAGGGTGTGCAGCCCATGCTTGATCTCATCTAGGGATATTTCCCTTAATGACTTTTGCAAATAAGGTCTCACGGGTTCTGGGGATCAAGAGGTGGCTGAATCTTTGGGGAGCCACCACCCACCTTCTAGAGTTTCTGTCAGGCAGTTTGATGCTGCACCACCCTCATTCCCCATGACCCATCAGGCAGGTCTTCGTGTCCCTGTGTTACAGGAGGAGACTAATTCCCATCCTCTGCTGCCCCAGCTTGGGGCTCAGTGCTCACGAAGCCCGCAGGCGCTGGTCAGTGCCTGGTTCACAGCACAGTTACCGGATTGCGGATGCCCCTCCCTTTGACCCTTTGCTGCTTTGGGAAGAAAGGCGGTCACCCAAAGAAAGACTCCTACAGTGTGAGCAGCACTGGAGGGTACAGAGTGGACAGGGCTCCTCATTTTTGACAGCATCTGTTCCACCAGCCCCTCTCATCAGCCTTGCTGTCCCGTTTTGCATGTGGGGAGCCCAAGGCCCAGTTAGCGCCAGCCACCTAGCTATAGTGTGGTGCGACCAGTGGTGAGAGCACCAGCCTGTCCACTCCCGTGCTGGTGTTTTGTTAGCTGTCACAGACCCATGGGCCCCACACATAGAGGGGGTGGGAGTTGAAGGAGCCTGGGCTGGGTTCCCCCACCCCTGTCCTGCCGCTTCCCAGTTGCCTCCCGAGGCTGCGGCTGTGAGGGTCTCGCTTAGCCTTTACCTAAAGGAACCATGCGTGTGTGCCCATCAGCCTCTCCGAGATACAGCATGCAGCACAGACCCCGAGTGTTCTCAGGCCATGGCGGCCTGCGGGGCTAGGCTGTGTCCTCCCCTGGGCTCCATCCCAGCAAATGCTAGTCATGTCTGATCTTGGGCTCTCCATCTGTGAATGGGCTAAGTGCCCCCCAGCCGGGCACAGTGATGAGGGCCACAGTATGGGCACCCCTCTCTCTCTCCGCAGTTCCACCACGTGCCTCTGTATCTGGAGTGGGCCCCCATGGGAGTCTTCTCCAGCACAGCACCACAGATGGAAGTGCCCCAGCATGCAGCAGCAGAGCCTGTGGGAAAGGATGAGGAGGGACCGGAAGCTGGTGAGAGCAGAGTCTGAGCTCAGGGTGCAGAGGGCTGGAAGAGTGGGGGGCAGGGTGGTCAGTGGAGCTGAGTGTCATAGTGCAGTAGAACATCGGAATTATGGGTGCTGATGCAGTAGCCAGCTTTTAGTTTGTTCATTAAAGGTTGCGAGGAGGAAAACCTAGAACCTGCTAATAAGCACAGCAAAGGAAAACCACTTCTAATAGAAGGTTGAGGGGCTGGTAGAAGAGGTATTCCCGTGCCCTTGGTGCACAGCGCCCCCTGCTGTCCAGTGGCTGCAAGGGCAGGAAAGGAAAAGGCGGTGGGGGCCTTGCAGGCTGTCCTAAACCCCAGCCAGTACCAGCCAGCTGGGTGAGACATTGTCACTGGCATTTGAGGCACAAGTGTTCCTCCTTGTTGGGACTCCAGTGCAAACACTGAGTACTCCTCACCTGGCCTGGGTCAGCACTGCCCTGGTTGCTTTGGGAACCCAAAACCCTCCCCGGCAGTCCAGACGCCACCCGGGGTGGCATAGCCTCCAGACAGAGCCAACCAGTCTGGGACCATGACCAGCTCTGGAGTCAGAGACCTCGAGGAGAGTTCTGAGGTCTGTGGAAGTCATTTTACCTAGAAATTAGTGACAGGCCCCCAACAAACACACCTCCAAATAGGGTTCTCCTGGTTAGTTTGCTAAAGTAAGCATTTTCTTTTTAAGAAAAATACAGTAAGTCTCCTATCTGCTAGTTACATTGTTCTCTTGTATTTCTACAAAACAGGAATGTTGAAGAGAATGTTATGGTGTTGTTTTGGGTTTTTTGTTTTGTTTTGTTTTGTTTTTTTGAAGAGAATGTTCTTATAGCAAGACAGTGGAGAAGCCAAATGGTCAAGTGTGGGGTCTCAGGACGAGCGCAGCTGGCACAGGGCCTTTGGGGTGGCTGCTCTGGAAGCCCTGTCTCACCAGGAGATAAAACTCTTTGGTTGCTTTGCTCTTGGGTGACCCAGAGTCCCCCGTGCATTGGGTCAGTGATGACTGAGCACACCTCTGAGGCCCATCCTGAGCCCTCGTCTGAGTTGGCTTGGTCCACAGTTTGGGTAGATTCATTTCAAACCCGCTTCTGCTGCCATTGGGAGATTCTCTGTGTGGTACTGTTTGGTTGCCCATCAGCCATACACCCAAGGGCCATGGCGCACCCCCGACTACGTCCCCACCCCGCCACCTTGCTTCTTGGTTTGGTTCCTACCTCGAACCTGCAGGAGCCTCCGTAGCCCAGTGAGTTGTTTCAGGTGTAAAGCTTGAAGACAAGCAGTGGGGACCTTTCCGCCCTTCTGGGGCTGGTGTGGCCGCACATGCTCGTTGTGTCCTGTGACTCCCTCCACTTGCTGTGTTGTACTCTGTGGTACCGTTCACCATATGTATCTGTTCTGTTGTTCGTGGCATTTGTTTTCAATCTAGCTATGAACCCTGAAAGTGGAGTTGCTGTCTTCCCTGTTGGGGAGCTCCTACAACCCACACAGCCCGAGGTGCTTCATACACATGTGAGAGTGAGTGGAGACTCTGCCCCTTAAGACTGTGGGGCCACTTGCAGCTGTCCCCCCATCTGTGTGTCTCAAGGTCCAGGCACATGTGAGGTCCAAAGGTCTAGGCATAGATAGCCAGCTTAGAGCATGTGAGATGACCGCCACACCGTCAGTCACTGTAAGAGAAGCAGCTCCCATCTGTACCCACCCCTAGACACCCCTTAGTTGTGTTTCACACGCCTCTCACTTCCTGCAGTGACACAGTGGCCCCTGCCCACCTGGTGCCTCCCTGCATGCTGACCACAGGCCTGGGAACACGCCTGCCTGGCAGGGACTGTTCATTCTGGGGGCTCAGGCGCCGTCAACCCTGTCTGTGCCCTGGCTCTGTAACTGTCCAGGCAGCTCCCTTCTCTGAGGCTCGGTTTCTGTGTCTAAAATAGGGCTCCTGGAGGCCTCTTGGATGGGGGTACAAATGCCCTCTCCTACCTCGGGTGGGGAATTGGGCAGCAGCTGGCAGAGCGCATGTCTGTAACTGTCTGGAGCTTCGTGCCCGCTGCAGAACTGCTTCCCCAGGAGCTGCGGGCTGGTGACAAGTCGTCTCAGAGGTGGCCCTGGGTGCAGATAGGCCCTGTAACATGAGGGGAGGCAGCGTAAGGCCGGGGACTCCCGGTCTGGAATGAACATGCTTCGTGTCCCAGGGCCCCATGTCTGAGCTTCAGTGTCAAGCATCCCCGATGAGCCCCACTGTTCAGAAGGGCTGCTGGCTGAAGGCGGGCACAGCTGCCTGCCACGTTTGGCCCAGGAAGTCAGGCAGGTCTGCGCTTGTGCTGGGCTATGCTGAGCCCCGTCTCTGCTTCCGCTGTGGATTCTCAGGCTGACCCCACTCGGAGGCGGCCCCTGTGCAGCCCCGCCCTGTCCCTGGTCCCCTGAGCCACCTCCTTACCTGCTCCTCCCCTTCCCGCATGTCCCTGCGTGTCCCCTGATCCCATCCCCTTGGCATGAGGCCTGGAGGTCAGCGCTGAGATTGTCACAGGCTCTGTGGGAGGGGGCAGAGCTGCTCCTGAGCACCACCTCCGCCCTGTTGTGTGTGCTGGCCTCCAGGGAGGGGGCCAGCAGGCTTTATCTCCCCGCAACCAAGACCCTCACCTGCAGATAAAGGCTCGCGTGGGGGAGCTCTGCGAAGCTGCTCGCCACTGATAACAGTCTCTGCTGCCAGCCTGGCCCGAGAGCCGCGAGGGGCGGCGCGGCGCGTTCTGTGGCCTGATTATAATGCGGCCCCGTGTGGCGCTGCGTGACTGGATTTGCCTGCGCTCGCCACCGACAGCGCGCCTTCCCGGCCTCTCTCTGCCCCTCCAGCCTCCTGTGCGTGGGGTCCACCACATGGGTCCCCCGCCCTGGCCTGGCCCTGCCTCTTTTCTTACTTCTTCCCACTCTTCTGGGTCCTGGTGATTTGGCTGGCAAACATCTGTTAGAGTTTCACAATACCTTTTCTTTCTCCTCTTTGTTTCCTCGCTTGGGGCCAGGAGCACTTCTTAAACAGACTTGGCTTCATCACCTGGTGCCTGGCTGTGCTCCATCTCCCTGGACCTGAGCGTGGGGCACAACAGAGCTGGCTGGGGCACTTGAGAGGCACAAGGTGGCCATCGGGCGCAGAGGTGTGAGTCTGACTGAAAGAGGGGGCAGCCGGCCCAGTCCTCCGTCTCATAGAGCCAGGGCTCCCCTCCCTTTCTCTCCCTTCCTCAGGGAGGCCAGCTGGGCAGCAAGCGTGATGTGCATAATGAGGAAAGGGTCATCCCTTCTCAGCACTCACACAGGCTGGGTGGGTGCTGCCTTAAGGCCTGTGTGCTGCAGTTCCCAGGGGGCATCCTGCAGGAGGCGCTGTTGCCATCATCCTTGTTCCTGGATGGAGAGCAGAGAGTTGAGTGAGGTGTACCCCAGCCACAGTTGTGCCCAAGGCCTGAGCTCCTCCCTGAGATGCCCAGGCACCTCCAGGCATGAAGGAGGAAGTCGGCTCGGCCTCTCTGGGTGCACTGGGTTCTCGGAGCTGTGTCGCATGCTGGGCACAGGCCGAGTGCCAAGTGTTTGTTGCACATTTCTGGCACCTGAGCTCTGAGCCTGGTGGTGGTGGTGCCTCGTTCGCTGGGTCAGTTGGATCTGGTCCTCAGTGGGCTCTTAGCAAGGCAACTCTTACTTCTAGCCTGTATCAGGGTGACGGTTTGGCCCACTTATTTTGGAGAAGCCAGTGGAGCCTAGGGCCCAGCCAGCCACAGGCCCCAGATCCTCAGCTTCTGCCGTCCTTGAAGCCCCCTCTCCTTCTGGGCAGGGACCCATCCATTCTTGGGGTGCTGACCCCAGCCTTCGCTTCACTCAGCTGGCACTAAAGCCGAGCACCACCCCTCCCTGGGCAGGCACCTGGAACCCTGCAGACCAGCTCTGTGGAGCAGGGTGGTGACGGCTGTGGCCACACTAAGGGCTACCAGGTTCCAGGCCTGAGGACAACAGGGTGGGGCTCTTAGTTTCTGCCAGGGGAAGGGAGCTGGCAGATTTGACCGCTGTTAGTATAAAAGCCCTAATGCCACCATGTTAAGTGCCAAGATTTAAAAATTGGATTCCCTCCCCAAGAGCTGGACTATCAGCTTTTCATTCTAAACTTCTGGCCACACTGAGTTGATCATGTGGCAGTGACCAGCCAGTGTCAAGAGGAGCAGTGGCCATGACCCTGGTCACTGTCATCCCAGACACTGTCTCTCATAAAACCCTCTCGGGGTCTCCCAGGACCCTCTCCCTGCCCAAGACGCTGCCCAGGAGCTGGGGTGCAGTGCAGCAGCTGCAGAGCGTCCCTCCTGGCAGTGTGGCCCTGTGGCGCTGCAGGGGAGCAAGCTCCGAGGTGTGGAGCTGAGATCTGAAGTGGCAGGAGATCGGACCGATCGCCCTCCCTCCCTCCATTCATCCCAGAGATGTCAGATGCCAAGGAGGCCCTGCGGGCAGGGAACGTGTCCTTGCAGAAGGTCATGGTTTCTGCCTTGATCAGAACCCTTGTTCAGGACCTAAAGTCAGAGCTGTTTGCATAGCTTTGCTGCCTGCAGTCAGTAATGCTTTTCCTCTGCTCAGCTTTGAACATCAGGTTCTGAGTGCAGATGGCCCCACCAGGGAGTCCCTGGCTGGGTGAACTGTGGGAGTCTCTCAGCTGGGGGAGGAGCCTCTGTGCACACTTCTTCTTTTTGTCCTGGGGCCTGAGTCTGGAATCTGGGCTCACCGTGAGGGGCAACAGCTGCAAGTCCCACTGATGTTAAAGAGACAACATTATCACTGTAGCTGTTTCCATTAGCCTTGAAAGGGTGTTTCATGACAAAGCAGTTGAAGCTCAATTAGGACTTGAAAGCCTTGGGCTTGTGCAGAAAGGGCAGGGGAGCCAGGGACATCTTTGGTGCCTGGATAGAGGACGGAGGACATTTGAATGCCGAGAAGCGCCTGTAAGTCCTGGAAAAGTTGGAAACATTAAGGCAAAGAAAGGCGAGTGTGGAGCAGCAGCTTGTCTCTGTGGACTTGTGGCCATGTAACCTTCATGAGCTTCTGCCCAGGGTGTGCGGGGTGTAAGTCTTGGGGGAACGAGGTGGGTACTTGGCCAGAAGGAAGGGGGACCAGGGGAGAGTGCAGTGAAAGCTAGTCAGAAGGATCATGAAGACAGGCTGATTTCTGGGGGCCAGCAGAGGAGGACTCATCCTTAGGCCCGATCCTGCGACGGGAAATTGGGGAGGCTGAACCAAGTGGAGTACATGTCCTTGAAGTGTTTCTCAAGGTCATGATGTTGCCCTGGCTGCGGCCCTCAAAGGCTTCCGTGGTCGTCCCTCACGGGAGAGATCTGCACTCTCAGCACTGCGGCTGCTTCTGACGCCAGAGCTCCGTGCAGTGCTGCCCCGCCACCCTGCATCTGCACACGCATGCGCACAGACTGCATGTGCCCCTCACTGCCACACGCGTGCACACACCCCCCTTACCAGTGCACGGCCCCACTGGTGCTCTCTGCACCTCCTGAAATGCTCTACCAAGCAGAAGTGGTACAGAGGTAGGGGGAAGGCCTTCTGGGACTCCCTCCCGCAGAAATTGCCTGAGTCTTCATGTTGGTGTCTTGCACTATGTGTGTGTGTGTGCGCGTGCGCGCACGTGCATGTGTGTGTGTGTTCTCAGAAACACTGTAGATCATAATTGAATCACACTGCTTTTTTTTTTAACCTGAATTTTTATATTGTGGACTCTTGTTTGATGTTGTTAAATAACCTTCAGAAACATCCTTTCTAACGACAGCATGTTAATTCATTCATGAGTATCTTCTAGCCTTCCTAATCTGCTAGTGAATATGTCATGTTTTTTCCATTTTTCAATATTTTATGTAATATAATTATGTGAATTTAATATATCACATGTAGGTAAAACCACATTCTTGTGTGTGTACTTCCCAAATACAATGCATAGTAAGGATTTTTTTCAAATCCTTTAGGCGGCTTAAGGCATAATTAGAATGTTTGGTGTTTTTCACCCATTCTGGAACTTGTAAAGTTTTCACTTGCCTAAGTAAGGTGCTGCTTTTGTGGGGAACAAGAACATTATGCTGAAGTTCATGGTTTAGGAAAGTAGCTCACAGTACATTTATTTTGAAGTTCAAATTAGTGTGGCCTCATCCTGAGAGGGACTCATATTTGGGGTCTGTGTTTTGCATTCTGTTCTCTGTAAAGCGGGCAGACAGCAGGGCATTCCGTTGCGTGGCTCCTCTGCGTGCGCTTTCTCCCTCCCGTCTTCCCTTCTCTCCTGTGCCTTCTGCCAAGACTGAGCCCGGCTCCTCCTTCCCTGCAGGGCTGATGGAGCAGGCCGGGTTGACCTAGAAGACTCTGTGCCTTAAGCCTTTGGTAGGTTAGATGTCATTTAATGGATGGATTTATTTGTTTTTGTTGGGCCAGTAGCTGACAGCGAGACGCTAGAAACTGAAAAGCCAGTGGAAGAAGAATTAGTAGCCTCCTCCACCAAGAAGGAAGAAGAGGAAGAAGAAGAGGAGGAGGAGGAGAGTCTTCCAGGGTGTACTCTGTTTGTTAAAAACCTCAACTTCGACACTACAGAGGAGACGCTGAAGGAAGTGAGTGGGTCCTCGGGATAGGAGGAAGAGTGTGGGCATGCCGTGTGGAGCCTTGGATCAGGATTGGTGTCTTCTGGGAGATGCGCTCCAGACCAGCCCAAGAGCATCCTGGGAATTAAAAGGCTCAGGAGCTGGGGGTGCAGCCAGGATGATAGGTCGGTGGCTGTCCTGAAGTCACACACAGCCCATTAGCACTGCAGGGGGATCCCGCTCACAGACTCCCACCCAGCTGTTGTCTGAGTGTACAGCTATGATCAGTGCCGTCTGCCTGTGGCTGGCTTCCGGCTTCCAGCTTCCCCACAGTGTCCCCTGGGCAAGTCCTTCCCAGACCTTGGGGGATGGAATGGTCTCGAAGGGTTGTTGAAAGGTGATGGGGGGCTGAGACCGTGCAAGTCCAACAACCAGCTCTGGCCACCCTTGGATGCGGTGTTTGTGGACCCCGTTCCCATTTCCCCTCGCATACCTGCTCTTCCCAGGCCCTGTGTGTTTGGTGCCAGAACCAGATCCACATGGGTTTGGCTCTGGTGAGGTTCAAGAAGAGAGACAGAAAAAGGAAAGGGGAAAGAGCATTTAATGTGACTTAAATTAAGGATTTTTTAAATTCTTTTGGGCTTAAGCACAGGGGTCAGTGAGAGGCTGGGCCTGGGTTTGTGGACTCCATGCCTCCAACAGCTTTGTTCTAGCCTAGTCTGTAGCAGCAACTGCCTCACACCCTGCCTGCTTCCTCAACAGCTGAGACAGGACCTGCCCAGCAGCCCCAGGGGGCTGTCCAGTCCCTAAAGCAGGTGTCTCAGGATCTCTGTATGGAAGATTTGGGGGTACAGTGTTTTCTCCCCTACAGTGTTGAAGCCTGGGGTCAGCACTCCTGACCCTGCCCAGCACCTCTGGGCCATATAACCCCGGTAGGGGCCATCTCTGAACCTCCTCAGAGTGAGTTAACCATGCAAAGGGCTCGAGGTGGGACTGGCCACAGTGAGGCGTGGTGATCCCTGTCTTCACCACACCAGAGGTGGCAGATTCCCCTGGAGACGAGGATGATGACTGGGAACTTTCTTCCCCAGGTGTTTTCCAAGATGGGTGCGCTGAGGAGCTGCTCCATTTCCAAGAAGAAGAGCAAAGCAGGTGCGGGGCCTGGCATCTCGGAAGCAGCCCCGGAAGCTGTGCCTGTGGGAGGGGCGGAGAGTAGCGCTGAAGAACTTTACACAGCTGTACAAAACGGGGGCCAGAGGTGGAGAGGACACATGAAATTTCATGTCTGAGGGGACAACATAGAATCAGGATCGATTTTTATATATTGAGCCATACATACTACACACACGCGTGCGCACATTATCTGGCCAGAGAGGAAAGCAGGCAGTAATCAAGAGTCCGCTCCTTAGCCAGGCCACCTCTGAGATTCAGAAGGAGCGTGAACCGGGCATGGCAACGTGCACCTGTAGTGCCAGCTGAGGCAGGGGGATTGCTGTGAGTGTGAGGCCAGCTGGGCTGTTGAGACCCCATCCCAAAAAACAAAAGTGATAAGTGATAGAAAAGGAGGGGAACAAAAGTAGGTATGGCCAATAGGCAGGAATACTTGTAAAGAGGAAGCCTTTGGTTTCCGTGTGTGTGTGTGTGTGTGTGTGTGTGTGTGTGTGTGTGTGTGTGTGTGTGATCGAGTGCATTGTGTGTGGAGGCAGGTGGCCCAGGTAGAGAGAGGGTTCCCACCTGTCACAGCAACAGTCATCCCTATTAGCTCCCACTCCCATGAGAATCCCATTATAAGTTAATTACCATGCCAGTCATCTGCTCAGCAAGCCTGGGGTGCAGAAAGCGGGCGGAGTCCTGTGGACACTAGGAGCTCTCTAGATGGCTGGTCATAAATGGGGAGCCACTACGGAGATCTTGGGGTGTAAAAGGTTGCCAAAAAAAAGGGAAAGTCACGCCTGGGCCCGAGGCCCACGTGAGCCTGGAGCATGGCCCTGGGCTCATCCTTGCCCGCTCCCGCTTCACAGGTGTGCTGCTGTCCATGGGCTTTGGATTTGTGGAGTACAGGAAGCCAGAGCATGCACAGAAGGCCCTCAGGCAGCTCCAGGTAAATGGGGCTCTCAGGGCTTGGTTTGGGTGTAGTGAGGTCTGAGTCCATGTTGTCCTGGGCCTCACTTGCACCAGGCTCTGGGAGAGCTTTCTCAGCCCTCATTCACTGAGGTGGAGGGATGGGAACAGTAGGATGGGACAGGCCCTCCAGCCAGGCCTGAGCACAAACTGAGGCTGGGACTCTGCAGCAGCCCTGAGGCCACCTGGTCTCGCTGGAGAAAGGGGCCGTGGCACCCAAGCTGAGGCCCATGACCCCCCAACAGGGCTGCATGCGCTGTGAACAGCTCTGTACTTTCCTAGGTTCTGTTTTAAAGAGCTCCAGAAGTCCCGCTTTGTAATTAGGTGTTGAGCGCTCGTTCAGCTGGGCTTCAGCTCTGCCAGCTCAGGAGTCCGTCTTTCTCTTTACTATATTTGAAGATTTTATTTGCACACATGCATCAAGCAGTGTGCACGGTGTACACATGTGCACCATCGCCAAGGACTGGTGTTTTCCAGGTGGGTTGAGGAGTTTCCAGAGAGTACCAGCTTGCCTGCAGGGGCTGAGGCTAGGGCCCAGCCTAGGTGCTGCTTGCTGCAAGATCAGGTATTTTTTACAAGGCCTGCAAACTGAACCAAACCCTGACTCCAGACCCGAGAGGCCCCTGCCCCTGAAATTGCTCATATCCCAGCGGGGAGCCCTGCCCTGAATGGCACGAGATCCAGGGCTCATCTGGGTCGGGCATTGGAAGGCTGGGGCTCTGCCCTCGAGGCCTTCCAGCCTCTCCCTTCTGCGGCCTCAAGCTGGAGGCCATGCCCTGGAGGCCAGGGGTGCAGAAGAAAGAGTTTGGGGCCGGGAGGAGCCCTGATGTCTGTAGACAGGGACAAGCCGTGCTGTCTTACCTCCCAGGGTCACACCGTGGATGGCCACAAGGTGGAAGTGCGGATCTCAGAGCGAGCCACCAAGTAAGTTTCCTGCAGCCTCTGCTGCCGCGTCCACACTGGGTGCTGCGGTCCCCGTTGCTGGTCACCCCACAGGGTGTCTCAGGGCTCTTGAACGTCCTTCTTGCCCAGCGCCTGTGACTTACTTAGGGTTCTCCCTCACCAAGGAGCTCGGTGGGCGTTGGCCTTTGCAGCTCTGCCCTGAACTGGGACCGCGTCGGTCCTTTGCATGAATTCTTTTCACGTTTCTTAAATGTTTTCTGAGTGCACGTCATAGTATGCGATGTTTGTGCTCCTCGGTGGCAAGTTGGTTGGTGAGCACAACACACGTCCACTCTTGATCTCCTTCCCACCACCTGGCCCTCTTCCCTCTTCCATCTTCCTGTCTCTTGTGTTACTTTGCTTTTATATTTTGGGTCTCTCACATAAGAGAAGCCATGTGATACCCCAGCCACCCAGAGGGCGGCCGCTGGGCGGAATGCTTTACACACCCTTTGTATAATGAAAGGACGAAGCGTAGGACACGCAGCCCAGTCATCTTCATCTGAGTGGCAGAAATGCACCCTAAAAGAGTGAGGTGTTGCTGCGCTCTAGACCGCCCCAGGGGCCGTAGCACCTGGCGTCTTGTGTGGCGGGGCGCTCCGAGAGCTGGGCAGCAGTGCGAGTCAGTGCAGGTCAGCGGGAAGACGGCAGCTTCTAAGATACGGCGCGAGCCAGCTGCCTGGCGACCGCCTCCCAGCACAGCGCAGTGTCTCAGAGCCTAGCTCTGCGCCTGTGCTCCGCCACGAGGGGCTCCTGGGTTCCCAGCACAGGACCCGTAAGCCTGCATCTCTCATTGTCATCCCCTGGCCTGGTGCCGGAATGGCTGCTCCAGCAGTCTCGGAGCTGGTTTAGGGTCCTCACTTCCTCGCTTCCAGCTCATGGCTTTGTGATCTTTGAGCAGTGCACTGCTGTTCCCTCCTCGCTGCTCCCAGCTGCTGAGTCCAGCTCAGGGTGCTCAGCCTTCCCAGGATGCTATGCAGAGCACCCAGAGGGAAGCAGACCTGGGTCAGGCCCTCTGGAGTCTCGTGCGTGGCCTTGGGCAGGTGATGACTGGAGAGTCAGGTACCACACCAGGGGCCGTTGCCCCTTGTGCTGTCCCTGAGCACCCTGCCAGGGCAGTCGTCTCCCTTTTCTGAGTCCCTTCTCAGAGCAGCCTGGAGACAGCCTTGCCTGCTCCTGCTTCCTGCCCGATTGTCTCAGTTCTTCTCTGTCACTGTGGCATAGTACCCAACACCTGCAACTTAAGGGAGGCGCTGATTTTGGTCCCTGTTGGGTTGCACGTGGTTGGCTGACTCCAGGGCAGGACAGGTGACGGAGGAAGCACAGCTGCAGCATGCAGGAGGAAGGGGGAGGAAGCACCAGGGTCAGGGCCCAGCGACCACCCTGTCTGGATGTGTGCCCCGTGACCAGCCAGCTTCCGAAGCTCCCGCTCTGGGACCACGAGAATGAGGAGGGAATCAGGCAGAAACCGCAATGCTGGTGTGCATGACGTTGTATCTATAGTCAGCAAATAGAACATGCCAAGGAGGCCCAGCCTGTCTTCCTGGGCAGCACGTGGTGTTTGCTGGTGGTGTTCACATCCCAGGGCAGCGCTATTGGACAGAACCTTCCGTGACAACAAAGCATTCCACATCAGTGCTGCCCGTGAGGTGGCAAGTGCCACCACACTCATCACCTTCTGCTGCTCAGCAGAGCAGGCCAGGCTCACAGCTCTGACAGTGAAAGGCCACATTCTTGCAGGTTCCATGGTTGAGTCCAGGAACAGTCCTCCTGGGGGCTGGCTCGGCCTCTGAGAGGTTTGGGGTGTCCCCATGCTGCCATGGCCTGTGCCTCACCTCTGGGTTCACCCTGAGCCTGCGCAGTGTCCCAGTGAAGAGGTGCTGGCTTCCCCAGAGCAAGGAGGAAGAGCAGTGTCTTACATGAGCTGTGTCCTAAGTCACACGCTGTGGCTTCAGTTGTCCAGGGTCTCAGAGGTCAGGAGGACCAGGAGGCAGGGTCATTGGGGACCAGCTCAGGGCTGCCCCATTCCGGGTTTTCATTGCATTTCATCTTTTATTTTTTTTTTGGTACTGGGAATCGAACTCAGGATCTTGCCAGGCAGGTGCTGTGCTGCTGAGCTATATCCCTGTCTTGCATTTCATCCAGATTTAGACTGAAGTAGCCACCGGGGCTGCTGTGTGGGGCAGCACTGCCCTCAGGCAACAGGACAGATGGGACAGGGAAATGTGGTTGAGGGGTAGTGAGGTGAGTGCCAGGAAGGGGTGTGTGTGCGGGGACTGCTGGGGGGCTCTGAGGAGGTGATGGAGCAGGAAAGAATGAGCACAGTGCTGGCCATCCCCGGCTGCGGGGAGGTGCCGAGGCCCTCATTAAGTCCCAGCCATTCTAGCACGGCACCACTGTTGCTGCCCCCTGTTCTGCATCTGAGAAATCAAGCCGAGGGGCTGGGTCACTCACCTAAGGTGGTGCAGGTTCTGGGCCTGGCGTGGGATTCACATCTTACCTGGAGTGGCAGGAGGTGACATGGTACGATGTTAGGGACAGCCTGGAACTCTGGGCTCAGAGTTTTTCTTACCATGTAGCCAACCTCTGCTCAGGCCCTGTGGGGTCCAGAGAGAGGACAGCGTCCCAAAGTGGACCTTTGGGAACGACCCAGTGTCTTCCTTTGCATCTACAGAGAAGGAAACAGGGAGACTGGGTTTTGTGGAGAGCTTGCTCTCCTCTGTCCAGGTCCTTTCTGGTGGCAACAGCAGAGGTGTGAGCCAGACACCACAGCTGTTTTAGGGAGACAGATGCAGTTCGTGTCCCAGGGCCACTGCCTTTCCCCTCTTGCATCGTCGTCTCTTCCGCATGCTGATTGGTCCATCCCTGAATGTGGCCAGGAGCTTCCGTTACTCTAGGGAAGAGGTCAGTGTAGGGCAGGAGCCGTGGCACCTCCAGGAACCTGAGCCCCTTTCCCTTCTGCTTCAGGCCAGCCCTGACATCTGCCCGGAAGAAGCAGGTGGCCAGGAAGCAGACGACCTCCAAGATCCTGGTACGGAACATCCCCTTCCAGGCTGACCTCCGAGAGATCCGAGAGCTGTTCAGGTGAGATGCGCGACTTGGTCCATGGTGAGCAGAGGTGCTGGAGGATGGTGGCCTTGGGGCTGGCAGCTTCCACTGCAGGCCAGTATGGAGGCTTTTCAGAGGTTGTCTTCAGACTGCCGTGGACTTAGCTCATTTCATCTCTGAGAGCACTGGACAGAGCACAACCAGCTGGGCCTCTGCCCCCTCCGTGTGCCACAGGCCTGCCCAGAGCCTCCTTGGTAAAGCTCGGCTCTCTGATCTGCTGGGAGCGTGCGTCATGCATTTGGCTGAAGCTGGTGGGTGCTTCACAGTCAGCTGGTGACTTTTCCAAACATCGCTTTGTTTGGGCTCTATGTCAGAGGTATGGTCAGACACTGTGTCTCCAGAGAGGCTCCCCTGATCCTCCTGGCCAGCAGAGAACGGTACTCCTGATCTCAAGCATGCTCTAAGGAACGCCCCCTCTGAGAAGGTGGGTCACCTGCTAGCACAGGTGTGGGGAAATCAGCTGCCCTTTGGGGCCAGGCGGGACATGGGACACACATGCCCATTGGCACCTGCTGCTGCAGCTGGAGAGCCTCTGCTTAGCCAGCCGTGATGCCAGGCAGGAGTCCAGGTTGGACAGGACCGATTTTTCTCATGTTTTGAACAAACAACAAGCAGTCTGGGTTCTTAGGAATTCAACAGCAGGTGAGTCATTCTTTAAAACCAGTCACTGCACTGGACAGAGCCTGTCCTGCCTAGGGCCCCTTGTTTGTGATTGCTGTGCTGGCATATTACAGTGTTTCAGTATTAGATCATTTAGGTGTCATTCAGCTCTGAGTCCTGAGCGAGGTGTTTTCATGACAGGCAGCAGAGCACTCCCCAGGCATATGCCGGCAGGGCAGAGAGACCCTGTTGCCTGCAGAGTGACAGCGGATGCATTGGCCCCGTCCAGTCAGATGTGTGAGGCTCAGCTGGGACCTGCGTCTCCACAAGGCTGACCCTTTAGGGGTCTCCATCCCAGGGGGCAGTGGCTCAGCCCCTGCTTGTCAGTTTATTGTGAAATCATCAGTTGCCATCTTGCCAGGTACAAACAGAGTCCCTGTCTCCTAATTCCGTCTCTGAAGTTTTGAAGGTGGGAAAGAATTGTGTGCGAAGCTCGTCCTCTTCATTCTCCCTGTGTGGATTAGAGGTGGGAGGCCGCTCCGGGCCTTTGCTTCGGAGTCCTTGTCATGCCCTCCGGGATGCTGCAGATCACGGGTGTGGCAGTCCCCCACAGACATGGCCAGCTCGGCTCCTGGGTGTCCTGGCTGGTGGGACCAGCCTGCAGAGACAGGGTCACAGCCTGGGGGACACTGTCCTGCACCCCAAGCCCGGGTAGATCAAGTAAGAGGGGTCTTGAATTCTTGCCCTGAGGTGCATCCACCGTTTTAACCTGTCTCTGCTTTTTAAAGAGTCCAATTTAAGAACTGCCAGATCAAAACGAGCTTGCTAAGAACAGTGTGTGTTGATCAGGAAATAATATCCCTCAGAAATGACACTTCCTCTCGGTTCCGTGGTCTATTTAGGATGACACTTATCCAGGGAAACAAAAGAGCTCGGGAAGGGAAGGCGTTTTGTTTGATCTGAGTATTATATTTATCTTTAGGAGACAGGGAATTAGTGTCCACTGAACATAATTACACGCGGCGTCGCTTCTCCCCGCCTTGTTCTGACAGGCATCCTCCTAGACCCCTGGAAAGGCCAGCCCTCCTCGGGAGGCTCTACCTTGCTTTTGTTGTTCATGCCTGCTGATGGTGTGGGGCAGTTCCCAGTGACTGGCAGCAGGGGTCGCTGTGAGCCTTCTCAGGGACCAAAGGTTTTCTAGGGATGCCCCCAGACAAAGTCAGACAAAGCCACTGGCCAGCAAAGGTCACTTGCAAGGGAGAGCTCAGGCTTTGGGGTACATGGTCTGCTCCATTCTGTCAAGCAGGTTTTGTGGGTCTTTGCTTGCCAGTATAGTAAATTCTCAGCCCCCTGAGGGCTCTTAGGTGTGCTGGGCTCTGTAAGTGTGCACTATTCAGGTAGCCCTGCATAAGAGGGACAGTGCTGTCCCTTTCGCTCCTCCCCCCCAGGAGGTGGAGCACCCTGCCTGGGACCACAGAGCTGAATCGGGTGTGGATTTCAGTTAGTCTGACCCGTCGTTGGGGCTCAGACGCATCCTCCCTGACACCCGGATCTGAAGGGCCCTGTCATAGGAGCTCTGGCATGTGTTATAGGAGCACAGTGTGTCCTCGGCGCTGGGCACATGCTGTGTCAGGAGAGACCCAGGCCCTTCTCTGTTGCCCAGAGGACCCGTGCCCTCCTGGGTCAACAGCGAGGGGCCAGGGTCCTTCCAGGCAGGTGCGTGATTCCTAACGCCACACGCTGGGGGCAGCAGCTTCCCAGGGTAGCATTTCCAGGTCCTTTCCAGAGGCTCCATCCTTGCACCACAGGAGCCCTGTGGATGCAGGTTCTGCAGGGCAAGGAGTCAAGGGTCACCCTGTGGAAACTCTGGACGGTGATTCCTGACCCACTGCCGCTTGTTCTCTGGATCTGTTTCCTCTTGAAGAAAACAGTTGCGCCAGCATCAGCCTGCACTGCAATTGCTGATGGCGGTGAGGCTGTGAACCTCTGTCACTGCCATTAATACCAGGCCCTGTACAGTGTCTCCGTGCTGTATGTGGTCGTTGTCCCCTAGCCCCCACGACCTGTGGAGTAGTTACTGTCCCCTCCAGTTCCCAGTGAGGACACCAGCTGGTGAATAACTGGAGCCAGGGTCTGAACCCATGTTGGACTCTGACTCCAGACAGAACCCCATCTTTAAAGCAGGCCTTAAAGGTTCTCCAGGGCATTTCCAGGGTCTTCATCTTCTCCCTTGCCTCCTGGGCTGTCACTCTGACCCCACTCAGCCGGGATCTAGGTGCCAGGTCACCCCAGCAGCTGAGCCTCCTGTAGCAGTTGTTTTCTCTGACCTGAACCCTCAGGACTCGGGTCTAAGCCCAGTGTCGGCGCTTGGCAGTAGGTAGGCAGGCTTGGGGTGCTGTTTGGGCACTCATCGCTAAAAGGCTTGCCATCGCTGCTGTAGAGCATGGCTGGTAAGAACTGGGAGGGTCCAGCCCAGCCTGTCCCTCTGCCTTGTAAGGGACAGTGGGGAGGACATTCCGGGTGCCCCAGATGGTGCGTGTGTGTTTGCTGTGCAGCTGATTTCACTCTTCTGATCCCCAGGCTGGCCTGACGGGGGCCAGGTGGGGCAGGTATGCACCGGAAGGAAGTGGCAGGTCTCTGTCATAGGCAGAGCTGAAGCTTTGTGTGGGCAGGGCTCGTGTCCACCCACATTGCACATGGTGGCCTTTCTTGGACAGGTGCCCTTGGGTGGGCATGTGACAGTAGAGATGGCCTCTGGCACCCACAGCTGTGCACCAGCCCACCTTGGAGCCCTCACTGGGGAACGGGAATGAAAACTTGGCCCCTCTGCCTCTGTGCACGGGCAGCAGCAGGCTTGACCTCAGGACGGATGGACACTTCTCTTGTGTCGCTGTTACCAGGGCAGCACATGTCACAGGTCTGTTTCCTAGGAGGAGCAGAGGTCCACTGCCCCAGTGACAGGCTTCTCAGATGCTGAGCTCCATAGCAATGTCATTGGGGGGGCTTGAGGCCTGAGTTACTTGTCACTCCCTGGTGACAGCACAGCACCACCCACGCCCAAGTAGCTGGCCTCTCTGCCAGCATGTCCTCAGCCATCTTGTTTCCTTTTACGCAGCAGCCCCCTTGCTGGTGTCGCCCTCCTAGAGGGCTCTCAGGGTGTGCAAGGCCTCCCACAGTGGAGGACCACATCCTGCCTGCCTCTCATCTCCCACCCCAGGGCCATGTCCCACACCCCCGTGTCCCCATTGGCAAGTTCACCACCTGTGGAGCCCTGGGTTGGTCGCCTGGCCCACCTGGTGTTGGCCCAGTGCTAGAGCGGGTGAATAGTGCCCTCCGTGTACCCAGCACAGTACACACATAGCCTTGTGTTCCATCTAGCTTTTAGTTTCTTTTGTAGGTACTAGGACTGGACCCTAGGGGCTCAAGTGTGCTAACTAAACCCGCCTCAGCCCTTTCATTTGTTATTCATGGGGGGTGGTTCTCATTAAATTGCCAGACTGAGCTCACACTTGCCACCCCCCTGCCTCATCCTCCGGGCCGGCATAGGCCTGTGCCCCCAGCACAGCTCAGCCTAGCCCCCAGCCTTGGACAATGAAAAGATCTGGCGGTACCAGGCAGGCCAGCCTCCCTGACAGCTGCTCCCCAGTGCCCTTGCGGGTGGGCAGCACTTACTTCTTCCCGCCTTCCCTTCTCCTGCCTGGCAGGGCTGCAGCCCAGGACTCAGCTGACTCAGGTCACACACAGCCTTGGGGTCCCCTCTCCTCTGCCCACTTCACCCTCAGCCGCTCCATGTCCCTGTGGACACCCAGGAATCCCACGCTTTCCAGACTGACCTCAGAGGCGAGACTGCACACAGAGGCGCCCGTGTGTCATAGGGACGTGAGACGCATTAAGGAGCTTATGGTGGTGGGTACTTCCAGATCTGCAGGGCAGCCCCTGCAGATGCTTTCTCCTCTCAACCCACATAGGTGGATTTCTTCCTGCTGTTTTCCTCCTGAAAGGCATGAGATACCCATCAGGTGCGAATGGGCAGGCTCACTGCATGTGTCTGGGGCCTTTGTGCCTCTGGAGTCGCCAGTCCCTTGCACTTGTCATGCCCTCTAGTGCATTTTGTGCACAGGGCCCTCATCCCTGTGCTGTCCACCCGGCCTGTGTGTTTCCTCCAGTGGTGATGGTGACCACAGAGGCAGGGCCAAGGACAGCCTGGTCACCCGAAATCTCATTAGGTGCGGGGTTCCTCCCTAGTAGTGCCCCGTCAGCAGAGTAGAGGCTCCAGCGGGGTTGTTAGGGAAGACTTGTAGAGTTCTGGAGCAGCAGGCGCCCAGGTCCTTGGTGCTGCGGCCTAACGTGTATGCAGAAACGCACAGGCAGGAGGC